TGTGAACTAATATAAATTCAAAGTAAACATCATTACATAAAAGGGTACGGTCTTTTTTTTTTTTTAGTTTTATTCATTTCAAACCTGCCGGATCCGGCCGCGGGCCGTAGTTTGCCCACGGCTGGCCTAGAGCATCACAAAGAGCAAGGTTTGCCATGTTAATGAGTTTGGACTGTATCCTAAGATAACATTGCCCTAAAGTGAGAGGCTTTGGGGTCAGACAGCACTTGTTCAAATCTCTTCAAAGGTAGTGACCTTTATCAGCTTATTTATCTGATTATGTGTCTGTTTCCTCATCTATAAAATGGAGATGGTGCCACTTACCCCAAAAGGCAATTGTGAGAATGTAAGTGCTTCTGAAATGCCGAGCACACTGCTTCCCATTGACTATGCTCTTGATGTATGACAGCCATTATTATTAATATAGCTGTGGGGAGCCACTGAAGAATTTTTAGCCACGAAGTGCCAAGTTCAGATTTGCACTGGAGAAAGAGCACTCTAGCAACAGTGTGACTTGGATGGTCAAAGAAAAAGAGTTAAAAGTCATGCTCTTGCTTAAAAACCTTTGATGACTTTACAAAGACTGCAAAATAGAAGCCAAATTTGCCCTGACATTCAAACCCTTCATAATTTGGCTCAATCCAACTTTACTCTCTTACCCCTTTTCCTCCTGCCATGACCTATTCTAACCACCCTCTAGCCATCCTGGTGTCAGTTTCCCTAACCTCTGTTGGATTTCCGACTTCCGACTTCCGAGCTTTGGCTTCCTTCTGATTAAAAGGCCCTTCTAATTATCAGAGGCCAATGCAAATTCCATTTGCTCCAAGAAACTTCCCACCTTCCCCAGCCAGAATTAACCCTTCACCCCCTATTGACCTAGAAATTGCTCATCTATGCTCATTCTCAATCATCTCCCCATCACTGGAGAAATTGCTCCACCCACTAGCAGCCCGGAAGAGGCAAGACCCGAGGGGAAAAATGACAGGATTAGTAGAGCCCATCTGGGGTTTCTCCTCCAGCACTGGAAATTGAAATAGCAGGTCACAGTAGGCACCAGAAACACGGGACCCTCGAGATTTGGGTGTAGAGCTGGTGCCTTCCAAAGCTGCCTGCATGCTGAGGCTATGAGGAAGTAGGAACCAAGAGCCTTATGGAGGCAAATGGAACAGACTTGCAAAGAGATGTAGAGACAAGATTCTGCGTGGAGTTGGGTCCAGAGGAATGAGAGGGAAGGAGGAAAGGAGAGGCAGGGAGACAGAGACAGAGAGAGAGAGAGAGAGAGAGAGAGAAGAGAGAGAGAGAGAGACCTCTCCCAGGTTTCTGAGAGATCACCAGCTGCAAATTTTGCAGCAATACACTCTTTTTAAAAAATATATATAATTTTATTGACTTCAGAGAGGAAGGGAGAGAGAGAAACATCAATGATGAGAGAGAATGATTGGCTACATCCTGCACGACAGGACCCAACCTGGGGATCAAGCCCACGACCCAGGCATGTGCCCTGACCGGGGATCAAACTGTGACCTTCTGGTTCATAGATAGACACTCAGCTACTGAACCACGCTGTCGCCAGGCACAATACACTCTTAACATCAGTTATGCAGGTATGTGTCTGCACCCTCCTGGACTGGCAGCCCCAAAGACAGGGATTCTGTCCTATTCATTCAGTATCCCCAGAACCTGGCACATGCTGGATGCTCAAAAAACGGTTGAATTCGAATTCTGACAGTTCACAAAATGGTTTAATGTATCGTTTTTTAGGCAATCGTCCTAAACGTCTCTGCTTTTCACCATATTTTGTTATATTTGCATCATTTTATATAGGAATAAATAAGTACATTTTTATCAAGTTGGTTTCCATTCATCCTACTTCCAAACTCTCCATATTTACATGTGTTGGCTTGATTCAGAGTTTAGTAGCAGAAGTGATCTATGCCTCTCTAGTTGGTGAGAATGCTTATCTTACATCTTCCAGTATTCAGCAGCCTTTACGCTTGAAATGGATACTTCCCATGAAGGCTGCTGGGCAGCTTAATTTCAGTGATGTCATTTAAACCTCATCAAAAGGTCAGCATGAAAGCTAAGAACCTTCTTCCTTCAAATACCTATGCAGAATCATGGCTTTTCAGAGCTGGGGCCAAAGTTCTCAGACTCTGGAGTTTCTATGAACCAGTATTAATATTAAAGAAAAAAAAGGGCTGCTGAATTGATATTCTTCCAAGGAATACCATGAAAAACAATTAAGCTTCTATTAACACAGCATCACTTCCTGCAACACACAAGCCAGTCCCTACAAAAAGGAATTTCCAGCTCCAAATGGCAACAGTGCTGAGGTTAAGAAACCCTGGATTAGCTGATGACCTAGTGAAAGGCCAAAGCAGCAAAGCTCCAAAGCTGGAGGACATGTGCAGGTTGAAACCATGGAATGGACTGCCCAGGTGGGCTGTGATGGGGTCAGCCAGCGGGGGGCTGGGCCGGCTAACCCAGGCCTCGGTGGGATGGTGGGACAGAGTCATCACTCACTGACATTCTGATTTTTAAATGGGGATACTCCACATAAAATGCTTAACACTGTGACTGGCACACAGTCAATTCTCTATAAATATCACTGCTATTATTGTAAGTGTTCAATTAATGTTGCCATTTTTAACACAAGGGAAAAATATTTTTATCTTCCTAAAAGGTGTGCTGAGCTCCTTCATGGATGTGGAGTGCAGCCCTTAGGAGACAAGGTTTGCTGGGGAATCAACTGCCTCTATAATGGATTTCAAAGATTTGAGATTCCCAGAGGTAATCAATCTGAGGAGTAAGAAAGAGGTGGGAGGAGGAAAGGAGAGGGAGGAGCCTGGTGGCGTGTGGAACTGAGGACCCCTTCCCATGAAGAACAACCTCCCCCCTTGTGGGTGAGGAGGTGGTTGAAAACTATTTTAAGATGTAGGACAGGTCAATATACAGCTTGAGGCTGTTGTATGTCACCAACACGAGGAATAATTCTTTTGCTCCACGCCATCTCCAGCTTCTGTGACATTTTCTACAAGGGTGCATAGGTTTTATAAACTAGGTTTTTGGTGGAAACCGAGGAGTTGCGTTGAAACAGTGGAGAACTGAGGCAGCGGCCCCGAAGCAGAGGCCAGGAGCCATAGGTGACCACTAGGACAGAAGGTGCCTCAAGCTCCCAGAAGTCCCAGTAGGGCCTTGGACTTTCTCAGGATGTGGAATGTGGGGGTTGAGCCTAGCTCCTCAGCAGACACCTGTCTTACATTTTCGCAGTAAACGAGCCATCTGGTCTTACACCTGGGCATGAGGAAGATAAGATGGGCCTGGTTCCAAAGTTCTGCACCTGCTCCAGTTGGGTCAGAATGTGGCCCAACTGTTTTTGTTCTAGAATAACCCAGAGTCTAAACAAACGCTGGCTTCAAACTCTTGGAGAGCTAGTGAGAGACCTGCCCTGGCTCCTCAGGGCCAGCCACAACCGGTATGACTTTTAGGTTATGTAACATCTGACCCTTGTAGGACTATAGGGAAGTGTTTTTGTGTCCATGTTATTGGAGCCACAGAAGCATCTGTGATGTAACAACCAAATAGCCAGACGCATAAGGAATAACAAGGTTGCTGGGCAACCTGGCTTCATTACCTCTATGGCTTTGGTCAAGGTGCTCCCCTGTGCAAAATTCCCGGAAGTCTTTCCTGGCCCCCCACCCCCACCCCAACTTCCCCTTCCTGTGCATCAGAAAACCAATAAGCCCCCTTCCAACTCTAGCAACCTCGGTATCATGATACCGAGAAGTGACCAAGGGCTTGGGGTTTAGTATTAGACAAACCAGACTCCACTGTGTCACCCCAGGCAACTGTCTTTGCCTCTGTGCGGCACTGTTTGCCTTTTGTAAATGGTTGGGGGCAAACAACTGCCTCGCGGATGGACTCAAGGTGGTAATTAATACACAGGGCGCTTAACCACTGCAAGAGCTTGACAGGGAGGGAGCCATGATCCATCTTCCAATCGTCTGACAAATTCACCTCACTCACCTTTCCTGCCCCAGCTCTTTTAGTTCCTTCTCATTTAAATCTTGAATATCCACTTGGGTGGTGAGTCTCACATTGTTTTTCTCGGTCCCTCCTTCCCAGGACCCTCCCCCCCGTGGACGCAGAGAGTCTGCCTATGGGATGGTTGGTCAGCGACAGGGGTTTCCAAGGCAGGCAGTCCTCGCTTAGGAAGTCCCCGAATGGCCAGTTCTGAGCTTCTGTGGGTAGCACTGTCCCGCGGGGAAAGACGCCGCCAGCCCACAGCTCAGGGGCGCGAGTGGAAGAGCCACCCTGCAGCAGAGGTAACCCACAGGGACCCCGGCCAACGACAGGGGATGGGCGCACCAGAAGATAACGGGGTGACCGGGCTCAAACACGCGCCACGCCATCTCCGCCGGACTTCCTTACCCTCCAACCGGTGGCCCCGGCTAACCTCTCCAGTTTCGACGGTAGCTTCCGAAGTGACAGCCACGTGGACCGCGGGGGAATGGAACGTTGAGGCGGGGGGCGGGGCTGGAAGGGCGCTCCGCAGGGAA